CCTTCTCCCTCTCCCTCCCAGCGCTCAGACTGAGGTAGCACACAGTAATGACTAATAGGCAGACAACTTCTTCCTGTTCCCTGGAAAAGTAGTTAAGACCATAGCCATTAAAGGCAAAATGTTACTCTGTTCCAGCTCCTCACTGCAAAACAGATTCCAATGAAAGCTGGATCTAGTATACTCTTTATCAGAAAGCGATGCATGTATGCATCAAGTAGGATATTCTTGTGTTTGTGTGTGACATTATCATATATCAAAAGCAACACACAATGTTAGGGTATACGGTTAGCCCTCCCTATCTACTTATTCTGCATCCATGGATTCAACCATCCATGACTTGAAAATATTTCCCCAATTCCCCACCACCACCCAAAGCAACCTTGATTTTGCCGATTTATATAAGGAACCATATTTTACCACACCATTGTATATAATGGGATTTGAGCATCCATGGACTTTGATATTCATGGGGTGTGTATCCTGGAACCAAACCCCAGCGGATACCAAAGGGCCACTATTGTGCATTATTATTATTATTATTATTATTATTATTATTATTATTATTATTATTATTATTATCTTTAAGTATCTGTAAACCTGTCTCAAGGAACAGCTTCACAGGAGGATAGCATTTTTGCAATCCACAACCCCTAGAGAGCTGAAACATGTTATATAGGGTAAAAGGGTGCTATTACATTAGGAAAGGGTTATTTGATTTTTTTAGTGTGTCAATTAATTTTATTAAATTTTAGTTTACCTTTGTTTGAACCCTGCAGTACTAGTAGCAGTCACTAGATGACATATGTCCTTAAGTATCGCATAGGTTTAGTATTCTAGGGGTGGCTGGGACAGTGGAGGGTGATGGTGGGGCACATGCACTCAGATGATAGGTGGTGGAGCATTAAGGGAGTAATCTGAGTGTCCACATAAGCTGAATCTGGCTGACTACAGCAACAGGTGGTGGCAGGCTAGAGCTGGCTGGCAGAAACAGTGGAAAGGGTTGGTATGTGCATGTACATGCTGAGGTGACTGTGTGTATCAGTGGAGTGAAAGGGGTGTGAGAGAAAGCATAGAAAGTTTGGTTTTCTGCTCCAATGAATGTGGGGTACATGGTTTTCTTCCTGGATTGTAGGTTGTTCACAGACTCTATAGATTCACCATGGCAGAAGTGTGCGACACCATTCATGGTTTCATTCCGACAGAGTGGACACAATCAGTGGTGTCACTAGGGCAGTGGTGGTAAACTTATGGCACGCGTGCCAGAGGTGGCACTCAAAGCCCTCTCTGTGGGCACGGGTGCTGTTGCCCCAGCACATAGTTCATTACTAGAAAGCCAGAGGGACGTGGCACTTTGTGATAAATAAGTGAATTTTGGGTTGCAGGTCTCTAAAAGGTTTGCTATTACTGCAGTAGAGGGTGCAGTGGTGTGATCCACACTGGGTGACACCCCAGAAGGGGGGGTGATACCGAGTCAGGCCTTCCCCCTCCTCACCGTTCCCATGCCTGCTCCCATCCTCTGCCATCCTGGTTGCTCCCCTATGTGCGCTCTCACCTGCCTGTGCCATCCTTGCGCTCCCACGCACATGGTCCCATGCCTCATACCATTCTCGTGCTCCCTCACACATGTTCCCACTCACCCACACCACTCTGAAGTCGTATGGAGGCTGCAAGAGTGGGCCCAAAAAGGAGCGGCAAAAAAACGCTCCTGCCGGCAGCCCGTTCGGGACCACAGTGATGGCCTGCTTTGAGAGCCACTTTGTGTCCTAGCACTGGGGGAAAAGTAGGATGTAAATAAATACAATGATGGTGGTCGTGGTGATGATCATCATGATGATACACATTGCTGATTTGTGGTAAAGGTACAAAAACCATATTATTCTTGTCCACCTTGTTGTCAAAGGTCATTGTTTCCAAGCTTCCAAAGAGCACTCCCAAGCTTTGGATTCACTATTTACTTAGCACCCATAGGTGATAATAATATTGTCTTCCACCTTAAACTTGGTCAGTGTATGGAAGTATACTGAAATACTTTGAACTCTTTCAAAATGTGCTATATAATTGCTGAGTCAATTTCTAATAAGGAGTTTTGAATATATTTGCAGTTCCTGCCTTTTATCATACCCTTACCTTTTAAGGTTTCCTGTACATACTTTTCAATGTAAAATTTACGAAGGCTGTCATTTAAAGACTGATCATCTATTCCACTTGCTGTGATGTAGATATCAATGTCACCATAACGCTTTTTAACCCAGTTAAGGACTTTCCGTAACCCTGAAGGGACCACTGCTGAGCGAAACGAAGAAATTAGGTAAGTGAAATCTTGCAGAAATTGAATGTCTTGATCAAATTCATACCGACTTCCATTTTTAGACTCATGGATCACAAATCTTGTAGTGAAGTGATTCAGGGCAAAAAAATCAGCAGCCCCTTTTACCAGTTCCTTCTCTTCACTGGTAAAATATGGCAAAGAGGAACTGGAGAGGCCTTCTCTCTTCTTATAGTCAAGATACTTTCTCATAGCCTCTGGATAGTCCCCTGTTTTATAGATTGGGTCTGAAAGCCAGGCTATTTCAAATTGAAGGAACCTTTCAGCAGCTTTTCTGTGGGTGCCGAGAAAGGGATTGGCTGGTTCTGCCCAGTCAGAATGCAAAGACAAAGATACCTGACCATGCTGAAAAGATCGATATTGTTTATCGTACAGATGCCAAGCCAAGGAGTGTGCTATCAGTACATTGTGTACTGCCCAGTAGGTATCATTACTGCTGCTGTTGTAAATATCATTGAAACGGTTGGGTTCGTTTATTGTGATCCAAAGTTTAACCAAGTCTCCAAGCTCCTGAAAACACATTCTTGCATAGTCTCTAAAAGCCTGGACAGTGGACTGGTTTAACCATCCACCATTTTGAAGTAAAGGAGTAGGCAAGCCCAAAGACCGGTAAGTTGGATAATGCAGAGTGACCATAGGCTTCACATTGAGTTTGAGCATCTCACTAATTACACAACGATAATAGCGAAGGACTTGATGGTTTATGGATGACAAATTGCCACTGGGCAGAAGCAGTGACCAATCAAGTGCAAACCTGTAATGGGTGATTTTCATTTTAGACAACAGCTCTAGTTGTGCTTTAATGCTGATGAAATCGGTACATTGAGCTGGCCGGGTTTTCAGTTTCACCCCTTTCACCTGGTAGAAAAGTCCATCTCCAGTAACATTCCAGAGATACAAGTTGGGGTCGCAGAACTGGGGAGAGGAAGCAACAGATTCTGCCTGTAAAGGAGAATAATATATTTCTTCTTTAATTGAACCAAGAATATTTATTTAGCCTCGCCAGCCAGGTAACACAGACACAGTGATATCATTTTGTCTTTTAGGTTGGGCTATTTCTGTTTCTATGAATACTATAGATCAAAAGAGTAGGACACTTCCAAACACTATCGTTAGGTGTCACCATTGGGTTGTATCCAGTAGTGACTTAGTGGAAAGCAAAATCATGATAAAAAAAAATAAAAAATGGGAAAAATTAAGTGGGCTGCTATGAAGATGCAAATTGCAGCAGCTATT